CAGGTGGTTATCAAGCACTACCTTCAGTGGCCTTCCCAGGTGGTATGTTGGTTGGTGATGCTGCGGGCTTCCTGAATGTACTCAAGATTAAGGTAATATAAGGCGATCTTATTGTTGTTCATTGCATGTGTGTCTATAATGAAGATATGAACACTATATAGGTAGACTATGCAACTATAATATAATGAGAACTTCGTTCGATATAGTAGTTTATTCTATTTATGGTATGTGAATGATTCTTCGAAGAGATATACTGATTTGTACTTCATTGCTTGCAAGTCTGTGATAAAGATATGAACACTGTAGAGGTAGACTATGCAACTATAATATAGTGGCTACAGATAGTTATGAAGTTTGTTCGATATAGTGGTGTATTGTATATATGGATGATACTCTGAAGAGATACGCTGATTTGTACTTCATCATTGCATCATGATGAAGTACATCATTCTTCTACTTCTTCCTGCGCAGCACCCCTCCGAGCAGGCGAGTAATAGCCAGTATAGAGGTATGGCTGCGGGCTCAGTCACTGCTGTCTGAGCCCGCAGTATGAACCCGTAGATAGTGTGTAACACGGCAGAGAGTTCAATAAGTACATCATTACTTTATATCTAATTTGTATTTCATATCTTCATCATAGACAGATATGCAATTTGCATGTATGTCTATGGTAGATATATGAACACTATATAGGTAGCCTATGCGACTACAGTAGTGGTCGCGGATAGTCATGAACACTGTTAGAAATACTTGTTCATAGTGTACAAAACTATCATTTGAAGAGATGTAGATGTAAAGAAAGTCTATTGCGGCATTGCTGAGACATGAGAATCTTCCTTTACAGAGTAACGATCTGATAGGAAAATATTATAATTGCTGCTACATGTTATTTGAGGTTATTGGTGATATTGTCGGTGGGTGATTCATGATATGCAGCTGGATTGGTATCAATTTAATAATAACGAAATTGAAAGAATTTTTGGTCAATTTTTTTGGAAAATTTCTGTGATGTGTGCGAAAATTGGAAAGTTAATTTTGTTTTTATTTCAGGGGACGCATACTGCGATGAAGACGGGAATGCTGGCTGCGGAGTCGGCGGTTGCTGACATTAGTGATGGTGCAAAACCTGGATATGTATCGTCTAGATATGAACATGCGATGAAGGACAGTTGGGTGTATAAAGAGTTATATGTAATATAGTTCTTGCCAATTTGATGATATGCAAGTTTTTAGAGTGTACGTAATATTCATCCAGCGTTTAAGACGGGTTTGTTCTCGGGGCTGGGGTATGGCGCTTTCTGGTTACTCAGTAAAGGGAGAGAGCCATGGACGTTCAAGTAGTAGTAGTTGATATAGTTGCTTCGCTCCGCTACATTTTTATTATAGGTGGTCCAAGGATGATGCTGCTAGAACGCGTAAAGAGAAGAAATGCAAAGCTATAGATTATCCGAAGCCTGATGGTAGTGGGGAGGAATTGTGGTTTTCTCGCAGAGTGGATGTGTGAAAATTTTAAAGGGAAAATTGACTGTCGTGGAAAAGTGTAAAAGTGGAATTACACCAATGACAAAGATGGTGGTAATTATCCATTAACCTCTACACGAATGGACAAGTCTGTCGTAAGTTAAAGTGCATGACTGACTGAGTTATTTTGGATGTAGTAGTGTGGAGGAGTATTGAAAATTGTGTGGAAATTTAGAGAAGTTCTCATTGATTTATCGATTGTGGTCGAATTAGTGTGAAAACTGACGAACTGAGCTGCGAAAGGTGAACATGTATTCATACTCCAACACTAGAAGCTCGCACATGAGAAAATTGATGAAGTAGACTGTATTAGAGTTTCACCACCCTAGTGATATGAAAAACACTAGTGAAAAATGTATCTCGCGACTACTGCATATCACCGCGAATATCGCCTAGTTTTTCACGGAGTTTTGCACCACTTCGCGTAAAACGGGTTGTTGTGAAACTCGATTGAGTAATAATGGTTGCTTGTAGGTAAACTGACATTCGACTTGACAGACCAGCTGCCGTTGACAGGGGTGGACCACGAGGCTGATCAACCTTCCCATTTGAAGATCAAACCTGGGATGGAAAAGTTCCCGAAAGAGGTAGTAGTAGCGAGGTGTAAATTCGGGTTACAATTAGTAAGGAAATATATATATTATAGTATTATATTATATAGTATAATATATAGTGTTGTTATGTCCCTTTTTGTGCGATCGCTCTAAGATATGTAATCCATTCAGATTGTGATAAGCTAAGCTAGATATTTCCGTGTTTGCAATCATAGATGGATCATTATTAAATCTCTTATCAACTCCTTTATTGCTATGTCGAGTTCACCTTCCCTAGGGTCACAACAGTATATATATATATTCCTCTCGTATACTGAATAGGGGTTTATAATATACAACTGTATAGGCTATACAATTAGCCCCGGCTGTGAGGCACTACTCAGGAACCGTCCTGGTTCTGCATTGAAGTTTCATAACAGCCCGTTTTACGTGAAGTGGCGTCGTAAAACTCGGTGAAAAGTTAGTTGATATTCGTGGTGATATGCAGTAGTCGTGAAATGTGTTTTCACTAGTGTTTTACATATCACTAGGGTGGCCGTGGAACTCCATTGTAGGTTTCCTTTGCCCAATACGAAGGCCCCGAGCAAAGATTCTGCCCAGCTAAAGTGTATGAATACGACGATGAAGGGAAGCTCACCATCCATGCACAGAACTGTATTCACTGTAAAACTTGCAGTATCAAAACGCCTGGCCATTTCATACAGTGGACTGTCCCAGAAGGAGGTGGAGGACCGCAGTATGGCAGTATGTAAATCGCGCGCGCCTAGATGATCGATTGTTTGGCATCTGCCTTGTTGACAGGCATTCGCTGTTGTTTTTTGTTGTTGAGAGTTGAGTAATTTTTCTATCCGATATGTTTGTTCGAGGGTGACTGACCCGAGAATTGAACCTGGGTTGGTTGGTGGATAGTCGACTGTGCTAACCGTTTCGCTGAATATGACTGTATGGATGCTGTTGAGTCATAGTTGATGGGGTTTGTTGAGGAAGTACCATATAGGGAAAGTTACTCATGAATTTGGAGTGGGGGGGATTATAAATTATTGGTTCGATTCGGCGTCTGGCTTTATGCAGTTGAGTGTTGCTGATAAATTGTTGTTTTATTTAATTGATAAAAATTGAATTCGGATTGATATTTTGTTTGGGTAGGCAACAAGGACGGAGTTGCTAGGAGTTGTAAACTGTGGGCTTTCGAAGATTTGAAGGTCTGATCT